GGATTAGTTTCAGTGTAAACGGGGTCTAAAGGTAAAAGGAGCTGTTAACTTGAAAACTACTGCTTCAGGACATCACAAGGTGGAACAGAGCATTTTCAGCTTTAGAGATGTAGACAGACTAATAATAAAGTGTTACTCAAATGTGTGAATGAAACAAACTACTTCAGGTCTGTTTTAGATGAGGTAACATGGCTTGAAGCTCACAATAGTCAATTTTGTGTAATAAAGGACCTTGGAATGTTGAATCAAGAGCTAAAGAAGTTCATCGCTTCTTTATCTTGACCATTTAAAGTTCGACCACATAAACAAATATAAACCGGTTAGAAGAGTTCCATAGGAGCAGGTCTGGCCCTACAGTACGGACAGTAACAGCCAATGCATCACCTTGGAATGCAGTGTAACAGCTAAATAGGCCAGTAAATCTAAATATATATATGCACGGACATTTGAGTTTGTCCTTATGGCCTCGTGCATTATTGTCCCCGTGCTAGCATAGAGCGTCCTCATTAGCCTGTCCCTGTGCTGGCTTAAAGGGCTCACGTTACACTGTTTTCTGATCTGTGCTATGATGTAGCTTCCTCGTCAAAAACAGACCCAGAGTTGTGTTTTGTTTCATTTGCACATGCTTAACACACAAATCCTGCATAGATTGGCTGAGTTCTTCTTTACAACAGAAAAAAAAACCTCTCTTATGATAAGGCTGTGCAATTGAATTTTAATCATAAATTGAATCTTAATCGTGATTTTGATTTGTGTGACAAACGATCTCCAAACTCATATAGTCGAGTTGAAACGATTTACATGAAACGAACATAGAGATTGTGGAACAGCTGGATATTAGGGATGTACAAAAATATTAAAATATTGATGTATCGTATCATTTAATGTGATGATACAGTATCAATATCGTGGGCTCCTGTATCTATACATCACCAAGAATATTTTTTTGTATATTTTACTCAATTGTTTTGTTACAGAGCTCCAGTTTTGTTGCTTGTTTAGTGGAAGGAAACTCGTTTATGCAACACATTTGGCATTTTCACTGATAATGATTAAAATGAGTGTGTTTGATATGAACTTTGCACAAGAAGTGGTTTAACAAATTCTTTTAATGTCACAGCCATGATTTAAGAATTAAGAATTTAGAATTGAATCGATTTAAAATATATCGTATTGAATCGTATCGAATCGTAAGCTCAATGTATCGAGATATGTATCGTATCGACAACTTCTGAATGATACACAGCCCTACTGGATATAAAGTTTATTTTGGATATATTTGTGTTTCTCTATGCCTTATTTTATGTTCAAAGTATATTTTATTCATTTTATATTTTATATATCGCAAAACTGCTCTAAGGTTCATATTTGTAGCCTACATTTTGCGTAAATTGCCACTGACAGTGTTTTTTTTTTTAAAGAGAAATGCTGAATTAATACATCGTGCAAGTAAAAAATAATCATTTGAATAATCGTGATTTCAGTATTGACTAAAAAAATCGTGATAATGATTTTTTCCATAATCGAGCAGCCCTTCCTTGTGATGTCATGTGGTAAAACAGGAAGTGCTCCACTTTTTAAACTCCATACATCTCACAATCGTTTGTTGTATTATTTTAGCCCTGGAATTCCCAATGTTTGCTGAACTTGAAGGTAAAAAGTAGCTGTTAACTTGAAAACTACCAACTAGAGATGTAACGATATCCAAACGTCACTGTACGACATTATCACCAACGGTGCGATATTTATTGCGATATTTTGAAGAGGCTTATATAATTGTAGATGAGACACTTTTTTTGCTTTTAAAATACGTTGACAATATTTTAGTGTGAATTATTTCCTTCATAATCCCAAGAATTCAAGTAAAAAACATATCTCTTCATGTTGTCTGCGCTGAAATGAGGAAATGGGAAATGTAGTTCCCAATGTCTATAAGCCAGGGGTCTCCAACCTGTAGTTCGGGAGCTACCAGCAGCTCTCCACCCATTTCCAAGTAGCTCGCCAAGGGATATCGGAATTATGCTATTGTGCTGAATAACAAAAAACAGATTAATGACATGTCTATGAACTTGTAAATGTATAATTTTGAAGCCTAACTTTGTGCCCTAATATAATGGACAATGTTTTATAGGCATCTAACTCTACTCAAAGACTCGCCCTCTTACTTAAAATCATCTCAATTTCTTGCAGCCGCCAAAATGATTAACTCTCTGGCATTTTTGTTTTGTAAAGGTAGTTTGCCGGTGGAAAAAGTTTGGAGACTCCTGCTATACGCTGTTCCTACTAAAGAACCCTGCATTTAAGCAAAGGAACTTGTGATTCGATATATTGTGACAGCTCTCGATATTATTGTGAGACTTCTGACGATACGAAATCACGATATTTCGATTATTGTTACATCCCTACTACCAATTGACTGCATGACATCACAAGGTGGAGCAGAGCATTTTGAGCTTTTGAGATGTAGACAGACTAAAAATACAGGATCACTCAAACATGTGCATGAAACAAAACACAACTCCAGGTCTGTTTTTGAGGAGGTAACAACATTATAACTCACATTATAAGCTCACATTAACCAGTTTTGCGTAATATAGTAGCTTTAATCACACTCAAAACAAAATTGTAATTTGAATAGTTGTAAATAGCATTTAGATTGCAATTAGATAACATGATTTCTTCAGCAAACAACTAAATATCTTGTCAAATTCGGTAGTTTAAAGCTCTACAAACATGTTCTGAAATGCATGAGTCTTGTATTAGTTAGAAGTTCCTATTTCAATCTTCTTTCAAGTCTTAATGCTCCTGGTTGTGTTTAAAATGTGAAATTTGAACACAATCTTCCTATTAAAACACAAATCTCAAATCTAATCGTAATCACAAATATTAGAAAAAAAATCTCCATTTATAGATTTTCCAAAATTTTTTAGCCTTACACCATAAACTATATATATATATATATTCATTTTCTGGTTTCATGACCCAATATTATGTTTGCGTTGGTGAAATGATTGAATATTTTGACAAATTTTGGATGTCGTCATGACAAACATGACATGACTTAAAGCTCACAAGAGTTGATTTTGGATAATAAAAAAAAAAAAAAAAAAAAAAAAATCCAGATTTAAAACAAAGATAATACATTTTACTTAAGGCGTAATTGCATTTATTTGTATTTTCTCTTTCAGTTTGCGTGCCAAGCGAGTGTAGCGACGGCGTTTTGCTTAGTCACGTAGCTTTGCCCTTGTCTGTTCCTTCCTTTCCTATACATCTCTCCACCATCCCTCATTCATCTCCGGTACAGATGTGCACCCATCCCTCTCTCCCTCTCTCCCTCTCTCCTCTAATGTAACTATTTATCTTTTGACCTTAAAGAGACAGGCGCATTGATTTATGAAGCCACTGACTGGGCCTGCGAGTGCGCGTGTGTGCGTCTTCCACAATTAGATATACAATAAGATATACTGTAGACCCTCCTTTGTATTCCTATTAGCCCGCGGCTACGTTTCTCGGCGGCTAATTTAAGCTAAAGGACTTTGAGGAGGTTGCGACGGCGCGGTCAGTCTCGCTCGGGTTTCAGGGTTGGTATCGCCGTAGATGCTTGGTTTGGTGTTTCTCGTGGGTTTTGTTTAATTTTGGGCATAGGAAAAACAAAACGCAGGGAAGCTCTTTGCAAAATTGTAGATTGTTTTTAGCTTCTTAAATTTGGAAATGTCCATGCTTTGTCTGGAATGTTTCACAGTATGGCATTAAACCTTTCTATCTTCACGTAGACCAAACCAGACCAAGTTACAGCTCAGATAAGTGGAGATGTAACCCCTCTCACAATCAGAATGCCTGCTTTTCTAGGAATTTTGAGCTGTAAACCCACCTGTAATTTAATAAATGTGAAGTAGAGTAAGTAGTTTAATGTCATATTGTGGAACTTTCCAGGCAGGGACATGACTTATCTACAGAAACAAGACGATGACGGATTCCGAACCGTAAAGTTGCACCAGAAAAGAAACTCAAAATAAGTTGTTAAAAGCTCCTAAAAGTCAATTTTTAATGAAGCATGAACAAAACCTTGATTTGTAATGAGTTATTTATTGTTTATTAAGAATGATTAACACTTATGCTCGAGTTGACAATGGCAGTAAAACTTATCCTGAATCTGATTGGAGGAAGAATGTAACTAAAAGAGCAGGAGGGAGGGGAGAGAGAACGAAAGTATGTATGTGAATGGGTTTGGGTTTGTGTCTTGGGAGGTGATTAGCCTGATTCATCAGCCGGTTTCACTTCGTGGAAACCGTCTGACCTCGCAGCATTAGAATTCGTTCCTTCGACAGTAGCCGGGTAGTTTTTTAATTTAACAAATCGCTGCTATTTGGTCGAGACGAATGTAACGGACATAACTGGTATATTAAGCTTTTCTCAAATCCCATAAGAAGAAGGGCAATAACGATCTTCTCCTTGATAAAATTCACCAAACATTCTCTTTGTTCCTGCTTTAAATCCTCAATCTTGGGAATCGTTGCCAACACAGAATGTATGGCTCTTCGCTGATTGGCTGGTGCCCGAACTCACACTTTTGGGTTTTTGTGAACCGTCTAGTGTATTCTTATTCCTGACCTAGTCATTGGAGAGAAATTAAATTGAGCAGAGGCTCTAGGTTTCGTCAGCCTGGCTAGGAGGTGATTGGATCAAATACAAAGTTAATAGGTTTTGATTGATAGTAACAGATGGTTTACGTGAGATATGGGACAAACAAAAAGCACAAAACGTCTTCTTGGTTGGATGACAACATTTAACATCTAAATTTTTCCCTGATTTTGGGAAAGATGGACTGGTGTGGGTAGTGTTGTGTTTTAGTTTTAGTTTTTCCTCGAGTGAAGCAGAAAAGAGGGAGGCACTGTCTGTGTGACTGTTCATGTATGTTAGATTAATGTAAATATTGTCTCTTTGTTGTATAATATTGTTATTCTCCAGATTGTGGTATGTTCCTTGACTGACTCCTTTACTCCATTTGAGTGGATGATTCTAGCCACCATCATTGCCAACTGCATTGTCCTGGCCCTCGAACAGCATTTGCCTGATGGAGACAAGACGCCATTGTCAGAGCGCCTGGTAAGATACACACATGTACAGTACACACACATACAACTACATTTAAACAAATTCAGTTCTGTCATGTGTGTCCACTACTAATATTGTAAAATCTGACTCAAGATCAGTTTTGTACTGGGCTTCTCTAATAGAAATGCATGGGTTTCGAATCACTGGAACTAGCACTGATCCTGGTATTGAATATTAGCTCAAATGTTGAAAAATTGGCTGAATTGGACGTCGCTTCAGCCGATATTTGGGTGATTTTATATATAAATCAATGTAATAAGACTAGTCTCATAACGTTAGATTTTTATTCATACAAAGTTCTGAGAGATAAATAACAGGTACATAAAGAAATGTTTAATTTTTTGATCTATGAAGGGAGCAGGGTTTATAAGATTTATCTTTTTCCTGTTCCTTTTGTTCATGCAGCAAAGACAAGGCAAATAATCATAGAAATATGTATTTATGTTAATTTTCAGATTTGTTGTTGTTGTTGTTGTTGTTCTTTTTAAATTGATGCCAACAAAATAATAGCATGAACAATAAATAAATAAACAACATTACACATTTAGATCAGTAATTGCTGTTTTCAGTCTCTACACTGGTATCGGTTAAAATTGGGCATCAGCAGATACTTAGAGCTACAGTATCGGAATCAGTATCGGAACGGAAAAGGCTGGATCTGTGCTTCCCTAACTGGAACAATACTTCTGACTTATAGACAAGATAGACATTACCGTGTTTGAAATTCCAAATTATTGCCTTGATTATGAAATTATTATGCCAAATAGGTTCAATAAAAAATTGAAAATATGTTGTACTTATTTAAGTTTTTTCATGTAAATTCCCTCTCTGAATCTGAATTGATGTAGAACTTTCTTCAAATTAATCAAGAGAGGGAAATACTTTTTAAACTCTTTTTTTTTTTTTTTTTATGCTTGTTGTATTAAACAAATTGGAAACCAAAAAAACAGAGGCGTACTGTGACAGAATTAAGATAAAAACATTTAGACAGCTCCATTAATCTTTCATTTACCCTTCCCGAAACAGAAGAGATTTTATTCCAAAAATAATTCAAAAGTATTAATTTTTTCTCCTGGTCCATTTGAACAGTGAAGCATAGAGATTTTATTTTTTTATTCATTTTTGTGATAAACAAGCTACAGTAACAATCAACCATTTCTGAAGTTTTCTAACCTGTGCTTCTGTTTTTCCTTGTGTCTCCTCAGGACGATACTGAGCCGTATTTCATCGGGATCTTCTGCTTCGAATCCGGAATCAAGATCCTGGCCCTTGGTTTTGCCTTCCATAAGAATTCCTATTTGAGGAACGGTTGGAACGTCATGGACTTCGTGGTGGTTCTCACAGGGTAGGGGCTATATCTCATTTTGTATTGATGGTTTTCAGTTCATATACAGATCATCATATCTCAAACTTTTTACTTTTATACTCCTGGGCATTATTTATTTGACTGATGTGGTAGAAAGCAAAAGCAGAACTACATAGACCATGATCCTTTGCTCGTTTTCAATTCAGTAACAGTGAATACAGATAAATCCTTGTATTTTTGAACATGGCTTTTTAAACATTTCCAAATCTTTCCTTACAATAAATCAAACTGTTCATTAATACTGTACAGAGTAAATGGGGTGAAGAGTGGGGAGAGACATACAGCACAGGAAATCAGTTAAATGCCGTCAAATAAGCTACCTAAATTCATGGCGCAATCTCTCCGTCTAGCCATCTGGTTATTGATCATTTTGAAGTTAAAATATCATACATTATTTTAGCCTTTTAAACCAGCTTTTGGTCAACCTGCATTTGGATTCCATAATTTTTTTAGGTTAAAATAATGTTTTCAGTACACAGATTTGTATTAGAGCTCCCTCTGTTGACTGCAGTAGGTATGAACCATGAAAAGAAATCAGTTGTAACGAGATATAGCAACTGGGCCGTCAAGATGATGTGTTTGCAGTGGAAGCAATTGTGAGTGCAGGAATGGTCAGAAGTAGTCAGGTGATGTTTTATGGATTAACAAACTGTGCTGGTTATCATGTTTTTGTCAGTGACGTAACAATTTGGGAAAATCTCAACAGAGTGATTTGGTAACATTTTAAGTATTGTACCATATTTTTCCAGAGTATAAATTACACCAGCCTAAAAATGCGTAATGAAGAAGAAAAAAACATATATAAGTCGCACTTTTTGGGGGAAATTTATTTTATAAAATCAGAGACCAGGAACCGACATTTCATCTTGAAAGGCAAATTACAATAATAACAATAGAACAGAGAACAACAGAGTGTTAACGTCACATATGAACAGTTCTTCAGATAACTATAGCATAAACAACAGAACAGAACAAGTTTACCAAACTCTCCATCTCACTCCAAATCACTAAATCCACTGAATTCTTCATCCTCGGTGTCACTTCTGATTAACTCCGTGACCTCCGGAGATAAACTAAGCGCTGCTTCCTCTTCTGTGTAGCTGTCGTCAGGCTCAGCATCAGTTCCAGTTAAAATTATTCTGGCCTTTCTGAATCCCGACAGGATGGTTTTGGTTGTCACTGAAGTCACTTAAATTTAAAATTTTCAGTGGTACAGAAGTAATGCGATGTAGTGCGATCGACTGACATGATACAGACAGGACAGAGGCAAGTGACAGTGGTACAGGAGTAACAGGAGCAGCAGATACTGACACACAAGACTAGAGCTCCCTCTTGCAGCTGTCAGAGTGAAAATCTTATAAGTTGCACCAGAGTATAAGTCGCAGGACCACCCAAACCATGAAAAAAAGTGTGACTTATGGTCCAAAAAATACAGTAAATGGCAAGATTTCACAGTACTACTTTCCAAGGTTTTGTCTTGGAAAGAATGATTTCTTGATTTTACATGGAAAACACTATTTCAATGGTTGTTATTAGCAAATAGTGAAGTACTGAACTTATGTAGGTAAAGTAGGACTAGGATAGGATAATCAAAACATACACCAGTGTCTGAAATGCTAATTTGTGACTAATGTCGTCACAATACAAGCATTTCTAACTCAATTCTGATACTCAACACCAATTCTAATACCATAATGATAATTTAAAAATATATATTCCCATGTGGTCTTATATCTGTGCAATCCCTCAGTGGTCCAGGTTGGTTCCACAGTGGTCCATGGGCGTATACTAGTCTATGTGCTCTTATACTTGTTCTGATACAGCTCAAGATCATTCTAAAGCTTCAGGAAAGGTTCATTTCTGGCTTGTAAATGAGACTTTTTTTTGTTTCGATACTAGTTTTAGTTTTGATTAGTGTCCACAAACCTGTTTACACAGTTGAGGAACAAAATTTAAATCATAAATAGTCTCAAAATCACTATATTACCTCATCCTGTTATGAAAAATGCCAAGGTTGTGCCCTCCACCTGTGTTTCTAGATGTTTCTGTGTGTTAGGGCGAGTCTAATGAAAGCCCCCATTCTGTGCGAGGCAGCAGAGGGATCACACAGCCGAACTGCAGGGGGCGCCGTAGCCTGGGTCGCCGGCAAATGTCATCCCCACACACACACACAAGGTAGAAGAGCGCTATGGCAGCAGCAGTGACAAGATACAAAACAGCATGGGAGACTGGAGGACAGGTGGAGTGAACAGAGCCATTGGAAACTGTTATAATGGAGATTTATAGCTTGGTGGGGTTCCAGTGGCATATGACAATAACATTTTTCAGGACTATGATGTGACTAGGGTTGTCAAAAATATGGAAGGCATTCAGGTTTATTTGTATAGCACAAGTCACACACAAGTAATTCAAGGTGCTTTACAGAATAAGAAATACATTAAAATCACCATACAAACAAATCAAAACATAAATAATCATCATAAAATTTAAAAAAGAACTGAGAGAAGAGAGCAGAATGAAAACCTTTCAGTAATATGCACAGCTAAAGAGAAGCATTTTGAGCCTGGATTTAAACAGCGTCAAAGTAAAGGCCCGTCTCACATCTTTAGGAAGCCTAGTCCAGGTTTTTGCTGCAGAAAACTGAAACGCTGACTCCCCGTGTTTAGTCCTGACTCTGGGCACCAGCAGGAGGCTGGTCCCTGAGGTCCTCAGAGTGCAAAATGGTTCAAACACAAGGTGGGCAAACTTTTAGACTCGTGGGCTACAAAGGGTTCTGCAATTTGACGGAAGGGCCGGACCAGGAGCAGATGGATGGAGTTTGTTGGTAATCCACCTCATAAGAGAACAAAAAAATATTGAAATGTCACGTAATTGAAAATCATTACAAAGCGTCTTTCAAGCCCCACGGTATTTACTTTTTATTGAAATAACTTTTAAAACAATGAAAATTATTATTATTATTATTGTTTTTTCAAGTTTGGTGGGCCAGATTAAAAAGATTAAAGGGCAGCATATGGCCCCTAGGCTGTAGTTTGCCCACCCCTGTTCTAACATGTCAGAAATGTACTTTGGTGCTTAGGCCATGGAGAAAAAAATCTAGAATGTCAATCAGTCAATCAATCAATCAACAACTTTATCAACCCCAAAGGGCAATTCAGTTTATCTCTGGTTGTGCACAGTCTATAAATAAATAAAATAAGAAAGACATTCAAACTCAGTGCATCAGGGACACAATAGCAAATTTTACTTTCCATTTACGAAGCTTTATCGCCGAAGGAATGAAAGATTGGAAAATCAGATACTAATTGATACTAAATCTAGTATCAAAACTAGATAATCTTTTGAGAAGGTATTGATACTAAAAAAGTCACATTCACAGGACAGAAACGAACCTTTCCTGAAGCTTTAGAATGATCTTGAGCTGTATCAGAACAAGTATAAGAGCACATAGACTAATATACGCCCATGGACCACTATGGAACCTACCTGGACCCCTGAGGGATTACACAGACCACATGGTAATATAAAAGAAAGTACTTTTTTTTTTTTTTAACTGTTAAATATGGCATTCTATTGTTTACAGAAAGAGTGCTATAAATATCACCATGGTATCGGAATTGGTATTGAGTACTGAGTTGATTATTGCTGGATGTCAGGAAAAAAAAAAAAAAATTCTTGTAATTACTGATCATTCTTTTTTTCCTCTCACCTTCTCCTGTATTTTTGTACTTTTCTTTTTTCCTTCAAACTGCCACTGAACTGTTGTAAAACTATGATAAATATTGACCACAGGTTCTATCCCACCAAACTTAGACTTAGACAAACTTTATTGATCCACGAGGGAAATTATTTGGACACAGTAGCTCACACATCACAATATAATATAATAACAAAGAGCAAAAATATAAATGGTTAACATAAATTCTAAAAACGTAGCTAAATAAGACAGCAAAAGACAAATAAGACAAGAATATAATAGAATTAGAAAAGCATGAAAACCTGTCATATGCACTTGAACATCCCTGATAACAAATGCGGTTGTTGTTTCTATTTTACTTCATCGCCATTCGTTGTTTCTGTTGTTTATACTCGCTGATGTTTCTATAGTTTTACACTGGCCACAGCATAAATACATCACATACATCACATCTCTCCCTCCGTCCGTGCGCTCGATCTCTTTGTTGATCTGTATAAATGTCGTGGGTGCTTTTTAGCTGCTCTTTGAACATGAAACAGGCACTGCTCTTTCAACCCACCTATGGCCGAACCTTCTCCTCGCGATCCGCTGTCCATTTCCATTTCAAACGTGCCCCCCCATCCCTCGCCGCCGCCCTCCCTCCCTCGCCGCCGCCTCCCCTCCCGCTGTCTTAGGAGCACTCGCGGACGATGTCTGATCACATACAAAGGAAAGAACAAATGACACTTAACATCTGAAATTAAGATCGGAGCAGGCGAGGCATAGACTGGGAAAAGAAGTGGGCTGAGGTAGTGCGCTCGACTGCTGCCCATTGCTTTCAGCTCCAGTCAAATGAAGCTCATCGAGGCTGCTAGTTACAGAGCGAATTTGGAGCTCCGTATTAGGAATAGGAACTGATATACATTCAAAATACTAAAATAAAAGCACCAGCATCTTATAGAGCGGGTTAATACAAGTATTTAAAACCAGTGCAGTATGTATTTATTGAAACCAAGAAGATAGCGATACTGAAAATGGCATAAATAAGACAAAATCTGACCATTCCTCAAAAGATTCTGAATGGTCTTTATCGTTTTATGGGTTTCAGCTTCCTGTTATCGGCTACGTTTTATATTTTCAGATACATTTTTTGTGTTAAATTATTAATCGGTGTTTCAACTGTCCTAATTTTTCATCATTATGAAACGCATGGATATAAGAAAAACTAGTTTAAGAGAATACTTCTTCTAATGCGTGTTTTGGTATTAAAATCTAGTTTGAAATGACAGCACAGGCCTAAAGT